TGGCACTCTAGTTAATCCAAAGGATGGTTCACGTTCAGAACTATTCGCGTTAAATAATTCCAGCTTGTTATTCTCTATAGATGACCCCGACATTCAGGAACTTACTGTTTCAAAATCTCTAAGTTGGGAACATATTATTAATGAACCTGATAAGCACGCAAATCAATTAAAAAAAGTAAGAACAGTCAAAATGAAAAAAAAAGAAAAATAATTGTCTGAAGAACTGTGTTCGTCTATATTGGTATTCAATTCCGTTCTCAATTGATCTCATTAGTGCTGTATTTCGACAACGCAAATTCACCAAAAAGATGGTTAACAATGAAATAATCAATCACACTGAGGTTCAAGCCAATGCCACTATACGATACCTTAAATTCTTATTTTTAATGAAAGAGAAACAAAATACTATTTTAGTACCTACACTTGATATTGATTTATGTTGGCACACACATCAGATTCATGCATCACTTTATCGTGAATTTACCAAAAAGCATATTGGTCAAATTATTAATCATGATGATACATTAGCTGAAGGTGTATTGTCCGATGGATTTGCAACCACCGCTCGAGCTTGGTTCAAAAATTATCGCGAACCATATACTCATGATGATCCATCAAAGATTTGGTTAACTACGAAAAAAAAGATCATGTCTGTTATCATACCACCTTATGGTCTTTTAGTTCACAATCGATTAAAAAAGTATAAAAAGACTCTTACTAAACAGCATGAGAAAGATATAAAAATTTATAATTTTGATGAGAAGAATGTGGAAAGTGTTGAAAGTGAAAAAGGAAAAGAAAAAGGAGACATGTGAGTTATAACAATGTTTTTAAGTTTTATAAAGTTATCACATTTTTTAATCATCATTTTATTTATAGTTCGTCAAAATATGATTCATTAAAACACAAATCATTAAAATACAATTCATTTGGATGTAAGCAAATTATTTACTTTAGTCTGTTTACTTTATGGAAAAATTGAAACATTTGAAACTAAATTAATCTTTTTTTATTAGTCTTTACAATTCTTGGTATTGAAAATTTTGGAAGCTGTGGTGGTGACGTTAGTGGATGTGGAACTAGCTGTGGTGGTGGATTTGGAGAAGGCGGATTTGGAGGAGGCGGTGATGTTGGTGGATATGGGATTAGCTATGGTGGTGGATTTGGAGAAGGCGGATTTGGAGGAGGCGGTGATGTTGGTGGATATGGGACTAGCTGTGGTGATGGATTTGGAGAAGGCGGATTTGGAGGAGGCGGATGTGGAGGAGGTGGTGATGGAGGAGGCGGATGTGGAGGAGGTGGTGATGGAGGAGGCGGATGTGGAGGAGGAGGAGGTGGATGTGGTGGATGTGGTGGATGTGGAGGTGGCGGATAATATCACTAATTTTATGAATTATGTCCAGTATTCATTAATGTTTAAATGTTATCCCGCAATGTCTAGATAAATATAATGATTCAGATACTTTAATTTTTATATTCACTTATTATTGTAACACTTTTCAAAATCTTGTAATCACAGGGTTAACCCAAAGAATTAGGAATTATATAAATAAATTAAAATTTCAAGTGCCTTTGCAATTCACTAATCAATGTTTCTATTGTTTTTTGAGCACACTTCACATACCACATTAACAAGAACATTAAAAAATTAGAGTGAGCAAAAATATTATTACTTTTTTTGTATGGAGTACAATATATCGCGGCCACCCAAGTATAATACCCCTATAAAAAATTATTTGGGTTTTAAAAACCTGGATATAAAATAAGATCAATAAATGATATTATTATTATTTATTATTATCATTACATTATTATTATTATTATTAAAATTATTATCATATACCCGAGTATTTATTATTATTTATTATTATCATTACATTATTATTATTATTATTATTAAAATTATTATCATATACCCGAGTATAATATAGGGGGTATTTACAAACTTATGTATATCTCTCCCATTCTCGAAAATTTTCAATATACCCGGGGTACTATGGCTCGCGATATACGGTAGGTCTTTTCTGTAGATATCCAATTGTTATTCCTATGGATCTCGATTACAAATATTCCGCAACATTAGTAAAGGCGATACTCACCATCAAATTTCACATTCATGCTAGATATTTCTGGTTCATGACTTTATGATAAAACATTAAAGTAATAAAGTGATTATTCTGGCATGGACATATATGCTCGTTTATTGGTGAGACATCTGAAATATTAATTATGAAATGATTAGCATATTTGAATGAAATCCTTGTATTCACAAAGAAACTGTATTTCTTGCGATATGTTCTGAAATTAGAATCAACTGACGTATGTTTGAAAATCAATAAAATTATAAAAGCGTGTCGTAAATTATAAGTGGATGACGACACGCGTAGCTAATAGTGAAACGTGCCTAATCTGTGAATAAAAAATCATGAGTGCCGATCACTTTGTACTTCTCCACGATCATAATGCCATATTCCAAAATTTTTGTACATTTTTTACAGACTTTTTAAAAATTATGATAACGAATATTGATACTACAGGATGAAACACATATCATTTTATAGTCAAGAACAAGACCGTTCTATCTATCATAGAAATATCTTGGTAAAAAATCACTTCATGTTTCACAAATAGTGAGTGAAGTAAAAAAATACACACCTACAAATAATAACTGTCAACCTAATTGTTCCACAGCCCAACCAATTGATTTATCTTCCAACCTTGCAATACCTTATTTTATTTTTTTCTATGTTCACATAGTTGTTTTATTCAATTTTTTGTTGTTTTTTGTTTAGTTTAGTACTAAAGAACTTTAATCAATAGACAAAGGTGTATTTTATATATAAACTGTTGTAGGAATTCGTGTAACCTGTAATTTTTAATATGAAATTATTTGACTTAGCTATTGTATTTATCACTGGTTTTCAAGAAATCAGCAAGGCAATAGCAATACTAAGTGGTGTTTTGACTATGCATGTCATCAAAAGTAAAAAGCTTTTGATTCAATTCCTGAAATTTTAATTGCATCTTTATAATTGTGTCAAATAATTACATCATTTGCACCAATTTTTCATAATTTTAATTGTCTGACTAAATTCAATAGTTTTAATGACATGTATAAGTTGGAATAATAATACTTAACATATACAGGAGGACTATTAATTTATGTTTGAAAATATTAAGAATTATGATTGTAAAAATGTATGATAGATAGGATAATAAAAGATTATTCAATTCAACCAATTATTCTTTGTTGGTATTAACTACCAGTATTATATATTCCAAGCGGTCAATAATCAAAAAGATCGACATGTCTAATTTACCATTATAGGAATATCTCATCATTTTAATTATGTTGATCTTCTTATATCGTTAACTGAATGTAGATTCAGTCATTTCTTACATTTATATTATTTACATGGTTATACTTTTATTACATCGTATTTATTGTGATAATGTAAGATGCCATGGGAAATATGGAAAGTATTGGGATGAAAATTGTAATATTGTAAAGTGGAAATTGATACCTGTTACTTTCTCCTTTAATATATATTATTTAAAATTCGAAGATTCTAATTTATGTTTTTTAATTTGAACTTATCTTTATACACATACAATTTGAGTTATATTCCATTTTATTTAATCTTTATTTTTATCATCAAAAAGTATTTAATATATGATTAATTAATAGTGACAATAATATGTTTTATTATTGAATACACGTGTCGTCTTTTATATAATTGATACAGTATGTGATATACTGTTGAAAGTTTCAACTTTATCTTTTTATAAAATAAATTACACTGTAAACCCTGTTTTTTTCGAAAACATTCACTTTATAACTTTGTTATTATGTATCTATTTATTACAAAAACATAGCATAAAATTTGTACCACAAACGTAGCGATCATTATACCATTATATACACTAATTTGTTCAAATTTATCCTAATTTGTATTTTTTTATAAAAGAAAAAATTTGTGCGCATGTGTAAGGATTACGGTTTGTTTGTGGCTTTAAATAAAATAAATCTTATGGAAATTAAATTAAATTTCCATTTTTGGTTGAATAAAAAGAAAAAAAAATTACCCTCGAAAATACATTTAATGGTCGAAAAAATACCTGCCTTTTAATTGATTAGTTGATTTCATATAATTTTGTAAAAAAATAATGTCCGAAAATCCACTTTCGTCGCAAGATGAAAAGCATCAAAAGGGCACGCTTGGTAACATCCCGGCTAAAGAAATAGAACTACGCGTGTCTGATAACAATTTTAACATTTCGATGGGGGTGCAGAATGTTGAAATTGATAATGTGAAACCGGAAATGTTGCAAGCTCATTTAATGCTTTTAACTAAATTTAAAGCATTGGAACAAGCAGATGAACAGATTGATGTGAGATATTTGTTGCGTGC